TTTTTTCAGCATGCTGCAAGTGTTTTGCTATGTCTTTCCTAAGCAGCATGCCCACTCCTCCTTGTCTTCTTTCACTTGCTGAAGAGTATAGGAAGAGCCAGTTGTTATTGTCACTCCAGTGGTAAGCTACAGGGTCTGTAGTCAACCACCTGTGTTCTTGGACAGCTACTATGCCGATGTTGAATTCCTCGCATCCTGTAGTAAGCTGATGGAATTTGCCTGCTTGGTGGAGGACGCACATTGTACGTTGAGATGTTAAATGCTTTAGTAGATACATTGAAGGGCTTTCGGCGGCTTCTATCAGAAACAGTGGTCCAGTAGGTTTCCCCCTGCCTCGTCATCCTGTCGGAACTAGTCCGAGACATCCGTCGTCTACCCTCACGATTTTCCATTCTTCCATTTGTGACTTTCGTAATCAAGATTGGTGAGAATGATCTTATTCTCGAGGACTCATGTGGGTGATTGGCCCTACATGGCCTAATAGGTGAAGTGATCTGCTTGTTAGGCAGTTGGTTAGCAGCCGATAATCATCAATATCCTATGATTCGCCTCCTACCCAGAACATGATGGCCGTTGAACACCAAGGTTTCTTCCGCCCTAACGCTGACATGTTCAGTAGCGAGGAGTGATATTGATGGAGAGATTTGCTGGATGGCTATCATTAGCTCTCCTAAGCCGATGCCTTTGAAGGTGGATTTTGTTTTTAGTTCCACCAGGGTGTCCAGCCACCCTCCTCACCAGGCTCTATGGAAGCTGGTGGGGTTGACAGTTTAGTCGCCGACGACCCGACCCTGAAACAGGTTGTACTGGTTTATAGGTTACCAGTAGCAGATCTTCTGTCTGACCTGACACCCTTAAATATTAAATTAAATATTTCAACATTATTTTCCCGCAAATAATGCTTAAATAATTTCACAGACCAACGGCCAAATTTACAGACTGTTCTACATGCCCTAGCCCATATTGATTATTTTCATGTGGTTCCAGTTTATTTCTTGGGGGGGGGGGGGCTGCTTTAAATATAGTTAATTTCTTGAGATTTCATCTTTAAAACCAGCCACTCTTCCAACACCAATCTTCCCAGGTATTTACACTTCCCAACAAAGCTTTATTATGTTGTATCTTTTGCATTTCTGAACTGCATGTCTTCTCAACTAAATCCCTCATTTACTCCCCACATTTAAGGGCAGATCCAAAAGACAAAAAAAGGGGGTCAAAAAAAAATGACGGCGTGGGTTTCGACCACTTTGACCATTATTTTTTAAGGAAAAGATAGTGGTGTACACAGTACCTGCCTTTTTTGCAACGTCACTTAAAAAAAAAAAATAGGTTCATGGGGGGGGGGGGATGGAGTTACCCGAGGATTTGTGAGAAATTTGTCTCAGGGCAGGCGTGAAAATCGGGGTGGGCGGTGATGAAAACCAAAAAAAGAAAGTGGTCGCTGCGCAAGCTCCAGTGCCGCCTTCAGATTTTAAATTTCTCCCAAATATGTATGCTTGTAAATTTTTGACTTCAAATCAAGACAGGGTTAAAGTTTCTTTGGAGCATGCACTGGAAGATATGCTTAAAATAAAGACATCCCATGTCACAAAATATAATATATGTTGCAAAACGGGTATATCTTCAGAATTTAAAATGTTTATCAAATTAGGTTTGTCCTTCACCGGCATATATATACACTGTATACTCAAATTTCATCTTAGTTAAAATGTTCATGTAGGACTATACAATTTCTTATTTGGTTTTTGAATACCTGAGTGTTGTGTAAAAAATGCATAACAGCATTGTAATATCGATAGCATTATTATAAAAGCCTGCTGTTTGACCAACAGAGACAACCCATCTAGTTCTGTGTTAGGAAGCGGGACGGACTGCAGGGAAGGTATCGGGGTGGGCCTATCAATTGCCGCCAAATCGGTACACGGACCTGGCATGACTGAACCAATGATGGGCATTGTAACAGACACTGTACTGTTGGTATCTGTAGTATACATGTATCCTGACTAACATTTGGGTGATTCTGCTTAGTGCTACTATTACCAGATAATTGTACCGTATTTGCATGGCAAGATGGTGAATTAGCACTGGAACATGTACTTCACTCACCAGCCTTGCCGCTCGCAGACGCCTGAGGTTGTTGTCCGACGACTCCGGTCTCCGGCTGCCCTTGTTGTGGCCCTCCAGCTTGCGCGTGCACGGCAGATTGCCCCAAAATGGTTTCGGACTGTGCAGGGGAAACCCGTTGAACCCCGGCCCGGAGAGCGTTCTCTTGAATGTATCCGTCTCCCGGCTGAAACTGACTCGGACCCATGGCGCTCCCTTGATAGTGATGGCCGACCCCCTGGTGACCAGCTGGCTGTTGCTGCGCCGGCCAAACACTGGCCTGTACGAACTCTGGATGGGGAGGCTGTACATTGACACCGGCCGTGGCAGGCCGGCCTCGGGTGGCTCTTATTGCCGCACGGGATTTCCTACCCCGAGCAGACCGACCTCCCCGGCCCCGCTGAATTCCTCCGTTGTCGGAGTGCGTTGATCCAAGAAGGGGCGAGCGACGCACTTGTCGTTTTGGCCACGGCATCTTTCCCAGTATATGCAGGCCCCGGTCGCGTGACCACTTTCAACCTCAAGCCAAAAAAGCAAGTGACCGTTCCGAATGTAATTTCCTCTAGTGTATAATCCACAAGGAGTACACTGACCACCTCAATCCGAAAAAGCAAGTGTCCGCGCGCGTTCCGAATTTTATTTCCACCAGTGTATAAAACACTGACCACCTCAATCCGAAAAAGCAAGTGACCGTTCCGAATTTTATTTCCACCAGTGTATAATCCACAAGGAGTCTGAAAAACAATGTTGACTCTGTGGTCAGCTGAACCAAAGTGAAGGCTTGCCGCCCAAAGTCCTGCACCAGGAATCTTAGCTATGCCCCCCTGCTGTCCATTGGTCAGCGGATGCTGTCCGTTGGTCAGCCGATTATGCAAGTACCTAGATCATATGCAAATCAAGGACCCCAGGCCTTTGGGCGGTAGCCCATCTGTGTGGTTACTGAGAATAATGCATTTTGTTCTGTATGCAATAAAATGAATTATAGTTTAGAGAAGGTTGGGGATTCAGGGATTTAGAGTTTGCATGTTTGTTGTCGATTGGCTTTTTAGACAGCTTACGTCAGGTTAAACATTATGCAATAATTAGGTGTTGGGCTCAGGCCAACACTTATTGTTATTGTAAAAGTTCACTTTTTTATTTTGGTTTTTCTCAGCAAATTCTTCTCCAGAACTGTTTGTCAACATGAAAAATGATATGAACTTCAATTGTCAATACATGAATGCACAACTCATTGAAGATGAATTTTTTTTGTAATTTGGTCATCATGACGTGATCATGGGTCACGTGACGTCACTTGAAAGATTATTAAATTTAATCTTTGAAAATCAATATAAAATCAACCGTCAGAATTTTGCGGGAATCGACATGATTAGACATGACCTTCAATTTATCTTGTGCGTGTCAAATCAGGTCAAACTGGAAGTGCCTAATAATTTGAAAGTGGAAAAAGATATGAACTTGCTTTCAACGATGTTAGCTCTGTTGGTGGGTTGACCTTTAAAAAAAAATGATCGGTGAAGTGTTCGAGCGCCCTCTAGCGGCAGGTTAAAAAATGTCCAAAACACATTTTCAATTGATGTCTGTGGCGAAATTTGCGGTAATCGCTTCAAAATTAATATACATGATGACCTTAATACAGACAAGACCGGTATGCAAAAAAAAATTGATTATGTCATCGGACCAGAACTTACAATGAAAAGACCTTTTTTCCTTTGAAAATTGCTAAAAAATCAACCGTCAGAGATATAATATAAGTTTTGTGCTTTAAATGGCACTTTAATAATAGGTCTAAAACTTCCCAAGGTTTGGATCGTTACAATAAGTTAATTAGAAGAAGCCCTGCAGCCCCCTTGAAATTTGAAGTTGAACACGCCTACGCCTTGAAACGCTCATTTAATGCCACGCTCATTGTGTGTACAGCAAAGGGGTATGATTGCGTACAAAAGGGAAATCCAAAAAAACAGTGTGCTATGATTGCGTACAAAAGGGAATTTCCCATGCTGGCCTCTTGAGTGTCTGGTTTTACGACTGTTTTATGTTAACTATTGAGCCACATGTAACGGCTGTTTGATGGACCAATGTATTTTAAGTATTTACCAGTATTTTGTACACTTTTACATTACTTCTTAACAGAAGCATATTTTTGAAATTTGATGACGTCATGTGAGACTCAAAAAATGGGCTGGTGAAATTGCCCAATCGGGCGCTTTTTTAAAATTGGGCGCTTTTTTTCTAAAAACATGGGGCTTGGGGTAAAGAGTGTATGGCCAGCAATATTTTGTATTGCGCCAATGGCGTGCGACCTTTACTTTTAATATGAGCTATTTAATTGGTTTTTGTAATGATTTTTCCTGATATGTTTACACTACAGCAGCATAAACGTGCAGATCCTCACCTGACCCTTTTTAATTAGCCTCTTTTTTTTTTTTTTTTTTTTTTTTTCGCCCTAAACATTGACATCAACATCGACAATCAACATCAACAATCAACAATCAACATCAACATCAACATCAACAATCAACATCAACTATCAACATTTAACATCAATAATCATGACAATCAACATCAATAACCATGCAACATCAATAATCAACATCAACAATCAACATCAACAATCAACATCAACAATCAACAACAAAAATCAACATCAACATCAACAATCAACATCAACAATCCTCAACAATCAACATCAATAATTGTTAATAACAATAATCAACTATCAACAATCAACAATCGACATCAACATGAACAACCACCGTCAAATTCAGTCAACAATCAACATCAACAACCAACAATCAACAACAACAATCAACAATCAACTATGCGAAAAAGCCAAACCTGTAGCCCAACACCGTGTGTTTGTCCCTTCAAACTCTAGTTATTATTGCTTCTCTTAGGCAAAAGCGGCACCTGACAGGACAGAGCATAGAAGAAGAGACAACTACACCACTTGACAAGACGGGGATGGAAATACCGGTACCTACTTTGCAATTGGAAGGCATACCAGAGACACATAAATCCCCAGAGAATAGCTCATCAGAGGAAGATCAACCCATCAAAATTCATCACCAGAAAGTTGTCAGGTGAGTATTGAAAATTATGCTGCTGTCTGCCTATGGCTTCACAGACCTAGTTTTATTAAATTTTCATCGCATAACAGCAGCGGCGGAATGGTTTTTAAACTGGGGGGGGGGGATCACCAAAAAGGGGCACTTGCTAGGTAAAAGGCATGTTCCGTTAGTGCAGCAGCATATCCAGCATTTTTTTTGGTTTGGGGGGGGGGGGGTCGGGGGCACACCCATGCTGAAATGCCGACACGTTATTTCACCGGACACTTGGCCTTCGTAAAATCAACGGTGGCTTTTCAAAACTGCCCATTATGCAAACTACGCATTGTAAGGGTTTGGGGGCTTGGTTTTCATATTCCTCGTTCATATCAGAACTCTCTATACCATTTTGGGAAAACCATTTTACTGAAGAAAAATTTCCCAAATTTAGGGCCAGTTTTGTTTTCATCTCGAGGGGCCACATTTGCTTTGAGAGGGCACATTTATGTCCCCGAGAGGGGCACTTTGGTAAATCGGGATTCTGGTTATACACAAACATATATTCCTAGCTTAACTGGGTACTGTATAATGGGGGGGGGGGGGGGGCAAGCAAATTTAAGGCACTAGCAAAATGTAAGAATTTGACGTACATGGGAACGGTCTCCCCCTAAATGAGAAGGGTGCATGTGTACACTTTTAGTTAATAGTGTGCCCGATTGTAGGATTTTATCAGCGCTCCCCATTCGATCGTACCCTCGCCCTGCAAACAGGGCGCTGGGAAGGGCAGATGAGCTTCACAGAATCTTGTGAAGAAAGTGGGGATGGCATTCTGGGTAATTTATCATGACCTTTGTACAAAGCATGTACCTTTGTACAAATGACTCGGTCGTAACGGCCGTTTTAAACCTTGCAGGGTCGTTGCCGTGACGCCTTGCCGGTCACAGGTCACGCAAAATCTATCCAATCGGAGTGTTGATTCGTCAGCCCTTCCCAGCTTCCTTTTTGCAGGGTGGGGGGTCGGAGCGAACGCTCTCCATAGAAAATATGACACGAGGCCTCCCTCTATATATGATAGAGAAAGACCTTTCCACAACCATCCTTTGGCCCCTAGGCACCACGAGCCGGGTTGTGTCTGTGGCAGAGCACAATCCGGGTCGTGAAGGTTAGTTCAAGAATGAAATGCTGTTTGAGAGGTATGGGAGTTCGATCAGAAGCCAGTGAAGAGATTGCAATAGTGGAGTAGAGGGATGTCGGCGAGGAACTTGGAAAATGAATGATACGAGCAGCCCTGTTCTGTAGACGCTGCAGTCTTATAATAAATAATAATAATAATAATAACAGGATTTATAAAGCGCCATTCCATCTAGATCATGGCGCTAAAGCAACACAAGATAATGAAACAGACATATTAACATGAAATTGGAAACAGGTGAGCTTTTAAGTGTTATCTGAGTAATGAAATAGTCTCCTGTGATCTGATGCTTGAGGGTATGGTATTCCAGAGCTTAGGGCCGGCAATAACGAAGGCACGGTCAGTGGAGGTGTTCTTGGATCTCTGCATCGACAATAGTGTACCATCGTTACTGGAACGAAGGCCAGGTTGGCCAAATACGTTGAGCTGGATGAGACGGTTAAGGTACTGAGGAGCTGTGTGATGGAGACATTTGAAGGTGAGAAGGGCTATCTTGAATTCAATTCTTTGCCGGATGGGAAGCCAGTGAAGTTGGTTAAGTAGTCGAGAAGCCGATTCACGCCTGCCAGTGGTAAATAAAAGGCGTGCAGCATGGTTTTGTAGTCGTTGAAGTTTATCCAGACCTGACTCAGCGATACCATATAGTAGAGAGTTACCATAATCCAGACGGGACAGAACTAATAATGCACGGATTACGTGGTGACAAGTTTCAAAATCCAGGAACCGGCGAATTCGTGAGATGTTGCGAAATTGGAAGTGGATATTGCGGTTGAGGTTGAGAACGTGAGTTGACATTGACATTGTTGAATCAAAATGAACTCCAAGATTGCGGACGGATTGCGATGGCGTGATGATATTGTCCCCTATTTTCAGAGTAATGGGAGGTAAATTGCGAAGTGTGTGTGTTGAGGCCCCTACCAGAAAATCAGTCTTTGAATCGTTCAATTTGAGCATGTTTTGTGTCATCCATACTTTCAAGTCTTGAATGCAGGTTGACAGTCTAGTAAGAGCAGATTTGATCATTTCCGGATCCTTGGGGTTGAAGCTGCAGTAGATTTGAATGTCGTCCGCATATATATGGAAACTAAGACCATGTTCACGATTGATGTCTCCAATCGGCTTTATATAGATGGTGAATGCCAACGGACCTAATACCGAGCCTTGTGGTACCCCATAGTCCAGTGTTTTTTGGTGGGAAAACGTGCCGTCAATACACACGCTACAAGATCTGTTCCTAAGATAACTTCGGAACCAAGATAGTGCCTTTCCTGTCAGGCCAATGGAATTACTGAGCATCCGTAGAAGGATCTGTAGGTCCACAGTGTCAAAGGCGGCACTTAAATTGAGAAGGACAAGAAACACGCCTTTGGTGTCACCAATCATCAGCATGATATCATTTTTGATTGAGAGCAGTGCAGTTTCAGTGCTGTGTCCAGATCTATATGCAGATTGTTGCGGTTCCCATAGATTGTGATCATCCATGTTTGTCGTAATGCGAGAAGCGATAACCTTTTCAATGACCTTCGAAAGAAAAGATAAGTTCGACACCGGACGATAGTTGGCAAGTTCGTTGATGTCAAACGACGGCTTTTTGAGGATTGGAGTGACAATAGCATGTTTCAGCGAATCTGGAAAGGTACCTGTAGAAATCGATGTGTTGACTATATGGGTAATAATCGGAAGAAATGAATCAGTGTCAGCCTTTAGAAACCAGGTTGGAATAACGTCGAGACTGCATGATTTATTGGCTAAAGAGCTGATGATTTGACTAATCTCTTCACAGGATGCGATCTCAAAGTCCAAAGCTGATATCACCCCCGTGTTTCGCATGAGTACAGCTTTCCTTGTCAATGAAGCGACGAATTCTGGAGATGTTGCATAAATTGAAATTGATTGCCTGACAGAGGGATGTAACATGAGAGGACATGGTCATGGATGGATCGAATGTTTCTCCTAGATTTCTCACTGAAATGGATGGGTACACATACTCATTATCGATTGGGAAGGTGTAATTGATGAGCTTTGGGAGATTGTTTTGAGATGCAGATATGAAAAACCAGTTTTCATATGAAAGAAGTGTCATCTAGATATATCATCTTGAGTTGTTACCCCTACACTTGCAGCTGCTGAGTTAGACGCATCCCTGGTTGAGTGGGCCTTGAAATATGAAGTATTAGGGCCAGCTTCTTTGAGTACAGCTTTTAACCATCTACAGACTGTGGATGTCACATTACCAGATGGTATGGTGTGGAGTGTGATGGCAGAAGCTGAGTCGTGCTAGAGTTCCCATTCCTTCTATATGAGAAGTCCTGTTTAGGTATTCCTGCAAAGTGCACACTGGGCAAAGGTTTCTGGTAGCTTGAAAACGAGCAATTTCCATATGGTGGAAGGGTTTGTTAATTGACACACATTTAAAAGTTATATCAACCAAAAATGAAAATTGTTATCTGAATAGGACATAGGATTGATATCGATTGCTGTGAGTGACAAACAGTGACTATAGTGCTGTAACTAGTGCAATAAGCACAGTTAATTTGTGAGTTAATTGTCTGATAAATAATCTTTGACTGTCAGATAAAGACTTGAAATGAGTCAACACAATTGCCACATTCCCTTGAAGAAACGTTTAACTAAGTGATGTAGTCCAACTGGTGCTCCATCTACAAAGATGTTAGCTGAGGAAATTGCCAATCTGTATACATTGACAGTTCGTTATTATTAATATTATTATTATTCTTCTTCTTATTATTATTATCATAAGGAGAAGAGTTATCATAATTTTTTCGCACGATGGGAGACATCAGTCATTAGGGAGACATTTTCATGTCTCCCTAATGTCACAGCCCCCCTTTAGAGGCACAATTTTATCGTCGCAATTAGTTTATATTTGTTACTTGTCTAATTAGTAAACATACCAAAATTCGTGGGAAAAGGACAAGGGAATATTGGGTTAGGGCACATGTAAGTTTGAACAATTTTGTGCACAAGTCTATGGAGATGTCTCCCAAATGTCCAATCCAGGGTAATAATGGTACCATTAAGGAGACACGTTATCGTAATTTGTTCGCACAATGGGAGACATCGGTCATTAGGGAGACATTTTCAATGTCAAAGAACCCCTTTAGAGGCAAAATGTTACTGTCGCAATTAGATTATATGTAGTAGTTTGTCTTTTACATTACTGAATTTATATGTTTGTGGTAACTATATCGCCTTTTTACATATTTTTAATTAATGATTGTATGTTTTATAACCCGTTCTTTGTCAAGGCCATTTTAATTTCCCTCGCAAGGGATAATAAAGTTCAATCTAATCTAATCTAATCTAATCTAATCTGTCTGAATAGTTAGATCTGAAGTCTGCACGAACCCCCTGACCGTCGTCCAGATAAAAGACGCAACCTATCACTTTTTCCTGGAATGGCCAATGCAACTGGTTTCAGGAGTTTGGTAGATGTTCTTGGTGCACTGCACAGGCCAAAGGGCATGCATGAAAACTGGTAAATGTCATCAGAAGCAGAGGAATTTTCTGTGAGACTGATGAATCAGCACTGTAAAATAAGCATCCTTGAGATCGATGGTCATTAACCAGTCATTTGAAATTATCAAATGTTTGACTGCTGTGATGTTCTCCATTTTGAAGTTTTCGTATGGAATGAACTGGTTCAACTGTCAGAGGTTGATGACGGGACGGAGATCTCCATTTTTCTTGGGTACTGTGAAAGGGAAGACAGAAACTGACCTTGGAGTGGTTGTTCAACAGTTATTGCTCCTTTCTCAAGCATGTTCTGCACCTCTACATAAAAAGTAGTTGTGGGATGGCAAGATTGGGCTTGTGTAATGGGGACTTTACTCTGAAAAGGCTCTGACAAAAATTTCAAGCGGTAGCCTAAAATGGTGTCAATGATCCATGGGTCTTGAAGATGATGATGTTGTATGCCATGTGTCATTTGTGACAAGTAACCAATGGTGCTTAAAGCATTGAAGATGACTTGCCAGAAATAGATTTGCAAAAGATGCTGGGGAACTGACTGGAAAATCATACACAGTTAGTTTTTTGAGGATGTGTTGTCTGAAGCATTAAACTGCCTCCCCGCTCTTCCTCGTTTTGAAGACGACTTGTAAGATTGTCGACCAGCAACCCCTTGTAAGTTGGCTTATTGGGTGTCGAAAACCACTTGTTTCTTGATGCTCTATACACTGCTTGGTAACGTGAGAATCGCTTATCTTTGGATGAATTTGTTGAATGGCCATCAGCAAATAGCGGTGCTGAGGCATGGCAGTCAGTCGTTGGTTTCGGGCATGACGACACTTCACCTAGACCGCTAAGTCCTTCCTTGTCTCTAATCTCTAGTAGCCATGGCTAATACATCCATAGATGGTGGAGGCTCATCTGGGGGCCTCGAGACGGTGGCTGGGGCCGTGGAACAACCCGAGGGCGATGGGTTGACATTTCCTTTGGTTTAGGAATCACGGTAAAATCCAACAAAAAGCACCATAAACTATACGGGCGTGTATATGTACGTTGTGATGTCTGTGAAAAGATGATCCAGCACCCAAGCTCAAATATTTCATTGTATGCCTGCAAAAGCATAGTAGGGTACCAGTAGAATTGAAGAGATCACTGTGTTCTGAAGTATAACATTTTGCAAAATACCTTTGGACAGCGAAGTGTTTTTAGGTGTCGTGTGTGTCAAAACGTTTGTGCCAACAAAAGATCCATCTCTTTTTTTGACTGCACGAAAAATTGCACAAAATGCAGATTTGGTAACCACGCCCCCAGTAGCCTTGCGTGCATTTATCTGCACCAGTTATCCCGAAAAAATTGTTGAATCTTGCTGTGCACCAGACTATATTGGAAAACCGAACTGGCTTTATTATACAGGGCTTGTGTTTTATTTAAATAATATTAAAACATATCTTTCTATGCATTTAATATGTTTATATTTCATTGACAGAGACATTGCTGAGCTCACTGCCGTAGATGAGACGATAACATTTAAAGATCTTGTGCCATTATCTACTTCATGTGCTCGGGCAAGCAAGGTGTTCAGCATCTGTGTTGGTAAGATATGGCATTTACGTTGCATTTTTTACCCCTCAGCTGAGCGGCTTGAGGGGTATTGTCATTGCCTACGGCGTCTGTCCGTATGTCTGTGCATATGTCTGTCTGTCCATCCGCCCTTACCACGGAACACTTGTGGGGTACCCGTCCTTTGTTCGAGGTACCCCGCAAATAAAATCTTTAGAAAAAAGGGTACCTCGCAACGAAATCTTAAATAGGAACAATGGGACAACAATGGAGGTACCCCAGAAGTCCATCTGGCAGGGATGTCCGGGCAGCTTAGTTTCCGGATGATAACTTGAGTTAGAAATGTTGTTTGGAATTGTAACTTCGGTAGGGGTTGCCTTTAGGAGTAGACAAGTTGGGATTAATTTTGGGATCAAAAGGTCAAAGATCAAGGTCACCGGGGTGAGTTAAATGTAAATGGTTACCGGATGACAGCTTGAGTTAGAAATGAAATTTGGTGTCTAACTTCGGTAGGGGGTTGCCCATTGGTACAGGCATGTTGGGATTGGCTCTGGGGTCAAAGGTCACCATGTTGAGTTAAAGGTTAATGGTTTTACGGATGACAACTTGACTGCTGAGGGGTTTCAACAGCAACTCTGTTATTTTTAATTGCTGCGTTGGTTTCTGCAGTCAACTTTTTGCGGGCTCTTAATATTAGCCACTGAATTCAAAATCAAGGGCGGATCCATAACACAATTTTTGGGGGGGAGACCCAAAACAATGTGGGTCCCCACAAAAGATTAAGGGTCCGGAAATGTTTTTTTAGTTCTAGATTATCTTTGATGCAATCTGAGGCAATTTCTGACCACTTTGACCAAATTTTTTTTTCTAGGAAAAGATGGTGGTGTATGCAGTGCCTGCCTTTATTGTGACGTTGCTTAAAAAATAAAAAAGTTTTTTTGGGGGGGGGGCTGTATGGCCCCCATTGGCACTCATGACACTGCTGTGATTTTCATGTTGAATTGCTGGGCAATCAAATTCCACTGAAATCACCAATCCAGTAAAGCCATCTTGCCCACCTGCTCTACACTCATTAACAAAAAAGGCCTGCCATATGTAATTTTTTTTATTTTAAAATAACTGTATGATTGATTTTATTCATTGCCAATTAGAATTAGAAATTGCATTGTTTGTCTGTGATCTTTGATTTTATCCTGTTGTACAACTGTGCCTGCACATTTATAAAAGACAGCTTTTTCATTGTTTGGGCATTGAATTTCATTTTTTGGCACTCAAGATTTTGTTCCTAATGTTCATTTTCGTTTTGCTGCATTATATTTGTTTTGGTGCATTCAAAACTTAATTTGCAGCATTCTGTATGTTAAGTTTTTGACATCTTTTGACGGCTAATGCATTCAAATTAGCGGACGTCGCTGGGCATATGAGTATGACCACGTTTTTTTCTTATTCGTTATGGGCAGTCATTTTCATCGATTGGTCATTCAAATTATAGTAAAATGTTTTAAAGGATATTTTTCCTATTTTCTTCTGAGGTCAATTTGTTTTTTTCAAAATCTTTATGTCTGTAAAATTTATTATGTAACAAATCAACTGATATGAGGGATGACGACACGAAATAATGAAATGAAAAGGGCTAAGGAATTTCTCTTTCACTGTTGATCTTTTCTATACTTGTTTTCAAATTTAAATAAGTCCTTTAAACTTTAACTGTTCTCGAGTGAAGCTTTAAGGCAATAGAATGTTCTGATAGTAAAATAGAATGATTCTTTTTGATTGTCGAATGACGATCTGCGTGATATTTCAATTTCAATCTAAATTGAATGTGCCAGGTGCTAAATTGAATGAAAACTTGGTGAAATTGGCTGGGAAGACCTATACTACTTTACAAATAAATTTGATTTCCTTTTTATTGCCAGATCCTGAAGGATTGATAATTGCAATGGTGATCCAGGTACAAGGCATTTTTGTGCCACAGTGGATCCAGGAATTTTGCAGGGGGGGGGGGGGGGGAAGGGGGTCAGGCTCATCAGGTACAGATTATAACCCCTGCAGAATGTCATCTTTTTTATTATAGGTTTTACCTGCCAATTTCACCAAGTTTTCATTCAATTTAGCGCCATTCCATTTAGATTGATATTGAAAGATCACGCAGATCGTCATTCAACAATCAAAAAGAAGCAATCTATCGCATTTTATAGTCCCTAAGACAAATCGGGTGCAAATCTCACCCGAAATTGAATGGCTGATAATGAAAATGATTAGAAAAATTTGGAAATTGGCCGGGAAAACCTATATTTTATCAGCCGTGCGAAGCGCACTGAAAGCTTCTTCGTGGTTGTCGTCTCCTTCTTTCTCACCGTTAGCTTTAAATAGTTCAACTGCCAAACACTTTGGCCAATTTCAACCAAGCTTGTTTGACCAATGACCCATGGGGTGTGGTCAGATCGAGGCCAAAGGTCACTTTGTGGTCACTAGGGGTTATTTTATTGAAATTTACAAATTCGCCCAGTCTTCATCCAGTGACAACCAAACTAGGTCAGTGGCATCCCCAGACCAAGCCCCTTATCTATAAATAGATATAAATAGGGGTGTGAAATCTCAGCTTTATAGCTGATTTCAGCTTTTTTTGTTTTGGATTTCAGCTATTTTCCCTCCCTTGCTGTGTACAAAAGTATAGGAGATTTCCAAAGTTCAGCTTTTTTTACACCTTGTTCAGCTGTTTTCAGCTATTTTTGTCAGAGGTCACTCACACCCCTGGGCTCGGTCCAGGGATACAACTGAATACAGAATACTGGGAGTGTACACAGAATTTGGCCAAAGGTCACCAATTGGTCACTAGCGATCATTCGGTGAAAATCAAAGAGAGGCTACATCTGCCGCACTGTTCAGTCGATTTTAACCGAATTTGGTTAGGAGTTTCCTGGTCCAAGCCCTATATAGGCAGCTTTGGGTCAAAGGTCACTTAGTGGTCAGTAGTGGTCATTTTCTGACAAATGTAGGAAAATAGCTCTTTTCTCACGTTTGTTGTAATGATTCCAACATATGACTTGGTTCTTGGTTGTTTCTTCTCCTAAATACTCCACGTGGGAGTTTATACAGGAGGCCAGAAACACCGGGGCAAACCCCTTAATTCTCTTAGCGATAAGTGTTTCTGGGTTCTTTTACGTGCATTTATGCAACACACGGGACCTACGGCTTAACATCCCATCCGAAGGACGAAGCAATAATGGTTAAGTGTCCAACATACCACACATGCTTATGGGCTACCAGGCCCAAACATATCAACCACACAATCAATGGACACGCAGATCCAATGGGCTACCAGGCCCAAACATATCAACCACACAATCGATGGACACCCTGGTCCAATGGGCTACCAGGCCCAAACATATCAACCACACAATCAATGGACACCCAGGTCCAATGGCTACCAGGCCAAAACATATCAACCACACAATCAATGGACACCCAGGTCCAATAGGCTACCAGGCTCAAACATATCAACCACACAATCAATGGATACCCAGGTCCAATGGGCTACCAGGCCCAAACATATCAACCACACAATCAATGGACACCCAGGTCCCATGGGCTAGCTACCAGGCTCAAACATATCAACCACACAATCAAGGGACACGCAGGTCCAATGGGCTACCAGGCCCAAACATATCAACCACACAATCAATGGACATCCAAGTCCAATGGGCTACCAGGCCCAAACATATCAACCACACAATCAATGGACACGCAGGTCCAATGGGCTACCAGGCCCAAACATATCAACCACACAATCAATGGACACCCAGGTCCAATGGGCTAGCTACCAGGCCCAAACATATCAACCACACAATCAATGGATACCCAGGTCCAATGGGCTACCAGGCCCAAACATATCAACCACACAATCAATGGACACCCAGGTCCAATGGGCTAGCTACCAGGCTCAAACATATCAACCACACAATCAATGGACACGCAGGTCCAATGGGCTACCAGGCCCAAACAAATCAACCACACAATCAATGGACATCCAAGTCCAATGGGCTACCAGGCCCAAACATATCAACCACACAATCGATGGACACCCAGGTCCAATGGGCTACCAGGCCCAAACATATCAACCACACAATCAATGGACACCCAGGTCCAATGGGCTACCAGGCCCAAACATATCAACCACACAATCAATGGACACCCAGGTCCAATGGGCTACCAGGCCCAAACATATCAACCACACAATCAATGGACACCCAGGTCCAATGGGCTACCAGGCCCGAACATATCAACCACACAATCAATGGACACCCAGGTCCAATGGGCTACCAGGCCCGAACATATCAACCACACAATCAATGGACACCCAGGTCCAATGGGCTACCAGGCCCAAACATATCAACCACACAATCAATGGACACCCAGGTCCAATGGGCTAGCTACCAGGCCCAAACATATCAACCACACATTCAATGGACACCCAGGTCCAATGGGCTAGCTACCAGGCCGAAACATATCAACCACACAATCAATGGACACCCAGGTCCAATGGCTACCAGGCCCAAACATATCAACCACACAATCGATGGACACCCAGGTCCAATGGGCTACCAGGCCCAAACATATCAACCACACAATCAATGGACACCCAGGTCCAATGGCTACCAGGCTCAAACATATCAAAAACACAATCAATGGACACGCAGGTCCAATGGGCTACCAGGCCCAAACATATCAACCACACAATCAATGGACACGCAGGTCCAATGAGCTACCAGGCCCAAACATATCAACCACACAATCGATGGACACGCAGGTCCAATGGGCTACCAGGCCCAAACATATCAACCACACAATCGATGGACACCCAGGTCTAAAGGGCTACCAGGCCCAAACATATCAACCACACAATCAATGGACACCCAGGTCCAATGGGCTAGCTACCAGGCTCAAACATATCAACCACACAATCAATGGACATGCAGGTCCAATGGGCTACCAGGCCCAAACATATCAACCACACAATCAATGGACATCCAAGTCCAATGGGCTACCAGGCCCAAACATATCAACCACACAATCGATGGACACCCAGGTCCAATGGGCTACCAGGCCCAAACATATCAACCACACAATCAAGGGACATCCAAGTCCAATGGGCTACCAGGCCCAAACATATCAACCACACAATCGATGGACACCCAGGTCCAATGGGCTACCAGGCCCAAACATATCAACCACACAATCAATGGACACCCAGGTCCAATGGGTTACCAGGCCCAAACATATCAACCACACAATCAATGGACACCCAGGTCCAATGGGCTAGCTACCAGGCCCAAACATATCAACCACACAATCAATGGACACCCAGGTCCAATGGCTACCAGGCCCAAACATATCAACCACACAATCAATGGACACCCAGGTCCAATGGCTACCAGGCCCAAACATATCAACCACACAATCAATGGACACCCAGGTCCAATGGCTACCAGGCCCAAACATATCAACCACACAATCAATGGACACCCAGGTCCAATGGCTACCAGGCCCAAACATATCAACCACACAATCAATGGACACCCAGGTCCAATGGCTACCAGGCCCAAACATATCAACCACACAATCAATGGACACCCAGGTCCAATGGGCTACCAGGCCCAAACATATCAACCACACAATCAATGGACACGCAGGTCCAATGGGCTACCAGGCCCAAACATATCAACCACACAATCAATGGATACCCAGGTCCAATGGGCTACGAGGCCCAAACATATCAACCACACAATCAATGGACACCCAGGTCCCATGGGCTAGCTACCAGGCTCAAACATATCAACCACACAATCAATGGACACGCAGGTCCAATGGGCTACCAGGCCCAAACATATCAACCACACAATCAATGGACACCCAGGTCCAATGGCTACCAGGCCCAAACATATCAACCACACAATCAATGGACACCCAGGTCCAATGGCTACCAGGCCCAAACATATCAACCACACAATCGATGGACACCCAGGTCCAATGGGCTACCAGGCCCAAACATATCAACCACACAATCGATGGACACCCAGGTCTAAAGGGCTACCAGGCTCAAACATATCAAAAACACAATCAATGGACACCCAGGTCCAATGGGCTACCAGGCCCAAACATATCAACCACACAATCAATGGACACCCAGGTCCAATGGGCTAGCTACCAGGCCCAAACATATCAACCACACAATCAATGGACACCCAGGTCCAATGGGCTAGCTACCAGGCCCAAACATATCAACCACACAATCAATGGACACCCAGGTCCAATGGCTACCAGGCCCAAACATATCAACCACACAATCAATGGACACCCAGGTCCAATGGCTACCAGGCCCAAACATATCAACCACACAATCAATGGACACCCAGGTCCAATGGCTACCAGGCCCAAACATATCAACCACACAATCAATGGACACCCAGGTCCAATGGCTACCAGGCCCAAACATATCAACCACACAATCAATGGACACCCAGGTCCAATGGCTACCAGGCCCAAACATATCAACCACACAATCAATGGACACCCAGGTCCAATGGGCTACCAGGCCCAAACATATCAACCACACAATCAATGGACACGCAGGTCCAATGGGCTACCAGGCCCAAACATATCAACCACACAATCAATGGATACCCAGGTCCAATGGGCTACGAGGCCCAAACATATCAACCACACAATCAATGGACACCCAGGTCCCATGGGCTAGCTACCAGGCTCAAACATATCAACCACACAATCAATGGACACGCAGGTCCAATGGGCTACCAGGCCCAAACATATCAACCACACAATCAATGGACACCCAGGTCCAATGGCTACCAGGCCCAAACATATCAACCACACAATCAATGGACACCCAGGTCCAATGGCTACCAGGCCCAAACATATCAACCACACAATCGATGGACACCCAGGTCCAATGGGCTACCAGGCCCAAACATATCAACCACACAATCGATGGACACCCAGGTCTAAAGGGCTACCAGGCTCAAACATATCAAAAACACAATCAATGGACACCCAGGTCCAATGGGCTACCAGGCCCAAACATATCAACCACACAATCAATGGACACGCAGGTCCAATGAGCTACCAGGCCCAAACATATCAACCACACAATCGATGGACACGCAGGTCCAATGGGCTACCAGGCCCAAACATATCAACCACACAATCGATGGACACCCAGGTCTAAAGGGCTACCAGGCCCAAACATATCAACCACACAATCGATGGACACCCAGGTCAAATATACATCAATTACCATTTGGCACCCAGGCCAATCACTAATGCATGGGCACCCAGGCCCATAATCATGCGAGAACCAAATTATTTCAAATTAGTTCATACTTCATGCGAAAGCGAATGCGAAGCGAATTTGACGTCATGCAACATTCGCTGCGAAATTCGCCTGATTTGAAATATGTTCAACTTTAACGAATTTGCAGCGCGAATACTTGCCGTGACGTCAGAAATTCACGTACGCTTTCGCTTTCGTGCCAAGTATGAACCGGGCTTCACAAAGTTCACATCACAGTGTGTTATAACACACATCAATATCCGTAACAATATCAACTTGTGACAATAACCATAACAATAATGGTACAGTTCAATTATGTATGTATTAGGAGATGGCTGTCTTCGAATTCTGCTAAAATGCCACTTTAAAATAAAACCTGCAAGAGAAGGCAGGAGCTGGGGTGGTGGTGGGCAAATTGATCCAGCTTGCTCAAAAAGCTGTGACAGAATGACCCACACAGTACATGTGCATGCATTGTTCCACTGTTGCTTATTATTAGTGCTTCAATCTTTCGTCTGATTGGTCAAAACTCCTGGCTGTAATTGGTCAAAACTCTTGGCTGCAATTGGTCCAATCTCTTGGCTGTGATTGGTCCTATCTATGAATAATTAGTGCTAGGATACTGCTCAGGATCCCAACTTTTGCAATGTGTTTTAATTGCCGGGGGGGGGGGGGGGGGGGCTGATTGAGTGTAAAGACAGAGCAAATATGCCAACAACTGTGAAAGCTGTTGGAGATAGCATAATAAACTACACAGGACAGTGTAACTTGTAAAAGAAACTAACTTGAATCATGAGAAGCAGCACAGTTTGCCAAGTATAAAGGATTTTGTCAAAATGCATGCATTGTGACAAAATCTCTGAACTACCAGATACACACTATTTCCACACTAAGGTCAATGTTCACGTACTGGTCACAATACTAATTATCTGGTGACATTACTGACCACCGCTGAAATTTGTGAAGCGCAAGTGCTCTAATTACTATAAGTGTTATTTTTTTGTTGGTGTAAGAGCGGACGGCTGGGGGGGGGGGAGTGTTTGGACCCCTTCCCTTCTGGATCCGCGCCTGTTGTGATTACAGTGCTGTTTTTTAATGTCTTATTGCAACTTATTAATTAGTTGAGTTTTATTTCTTTGATTACAGAGTTTGCTGCTTCAAACTTGATTGTGATTTGGCAAACAATTGCATATGGAGATATCTACATCAAACGGGGAGAACTATTTTAGATGATGACTGACGTTCTGTAAGTGCAAACAACACTCCATTTTCTTGTTGGTGCTGACACTATTTTTCTTTAATACGAAAATACTGCATAATTAAGCTTCTTCAAATGTGTCATGAAATATCCTGTAATGGGGCTTTATTTCACAATATATTATTAAACATCGCCAACAAAGAAAGTCCACACCCATCGGAGGGGTCATAATTTTTGTGATCGTCTGATGATGACATCATTTATTGGGGAATTTTGTAAGCTTCATTTTGATACCCTGTTTGCTACCAAGTACTGTAAATCTTCAAAGATTGACAACAGATATGAAAAATGATGCAGTTTGAATAGTTGCAAATTTAATAAGATTACGCTAAGCATAACCACACATGCCCGTAATTGGGCCCTATTGACTGCACAGTGCTCGAACAAAGTGTGGGTAATTCAATTCGCGTGCTTGCATGCATGCAAGCACTGCGATGCGTATTCCCTGCCATTCATTTCAGGCAGTGTGACATTGTCACACAGCAATTTCCACTCGTGTACTCTTTAGATTTGCAACTTTTCACGCTGTACCATTTTTCATGAACCATTGTCAGTGTTTGATGATTTACAGTCTTTGGTAGCAAACGGAGTATCAAAATATAGCTAACATACCGGTATCATAGGACAATCAGGTTCAAACTAGAGGTCTACATGTATGTCTGTTTGAAAACAGAACATAGGGCATTTTCTCATTTTACTCATGTTTATGTCATGTTGGTCCTTTTGTAGTCACTTTTTAGAGTGCTTTTGATACAGTTAAAGGTTGTTCAAAATGCTTAGAATAATTCCAAAAATATAATTTTATCACATGACGTCACATGCCCTGCGATGACGTCATCTTGAGAACCTTTCTCTATGCACATTTTGTCATTGTGGTCTTGGTGTGAACCAAATTTAAAGTCAATCCGATGAAAGAAAGTGTGCAATTTTGGAAGCAGAATAAAATTATAAATATTGAAAAAATCATAAATGGATCTTTCATTATACGTGTTTTGAAAAATCACATTTTTGATGACGTCATGATGATGTCACACATTTTTCAAAATTTTGTGCAAGTACTTATTACCAAACAAACCAAGTACAAAAAGAATTTTGAATTTTGCATGTTGGGTTCGTGAGATATGGCTTAACGATCGAAAAATTCAAAAATTCATATAAAATCGCACGATGACGTCATCATGATGACACCTTATGTTTTTCACAAATGTGCTATAGCACATCCCAGTCTACCCACATACAAAAAGAGAGAGAAAAAAAGAAAACAAAATTATAACAAAAAGAAAGGCTTTTTCACAAATTTTGTGAAAATCCCAGTCTACCCACATACAAAAAGAGAGAGAAAAAAAGAAAACAAAATTATAACAAAAAGAAAGGCTTTTTCACAAATTTTGTGAAAAAGCCAATTATGACCCCTCCAATGAGTGTGGACTTTTTTTCTCCCGGTGTAAAATTGAATACATTTAACAATTGTTGACTGCTGTGATGTCATGTGGGATATGACCTTTTTACACCTGAGGGGCGCATGGCACCTGAGGTGAAGCAAAGGGTACTGTGTGCCCCAAGAGGATTAAAACGGCACATTCTATATCACAGCAGTCAACAATTGTTTTGATATATCGTGCCAATAACTCAAAAAGATAAATGGCTGTAACTTACTGTCTGAGAAATAAATACCTTTGATAACTGCAGATTTTGATGTCCTGCCAGACATGAGACCAGGCATTTGACATTGCAGTTCTCATTGCTTGAAGCTAGCACACTGTCAGGTTCCACTTGCGTATGCAATGCGCGTGATAAACGCAGTGCGATATCACCCTTAGTGTGTGACGTGCATTGTTATTGTCCAAACACGTGGCCGTCCTAGACCAATGAAATTACAGTGTCCAAGCACACGATATAACAATTTTAGTTACTGAATTAGCCATCTGATAATTCTCAAATTGATAATTGATGATCACGATAATTCTCAAATTATTACCTCATATGCTGAACGATAAAGGGGATGTGTGGCTCATAGTAGCACAACTGACATTAGGTACCATGACCTTAATAAAATCCTCCAAAACCCAACACTATAAGCAATCAAGTGGATGAATTCAGAATTGCGCAGTTAAGCCACTGTTATGGGAGGGGAAATCACCAGTTATGGTTATATTTTTAGAATGTGTCATTAGTTGGTTAGTACAGCAACAGTACTGGATTTTGGCACATTCATGAAACTCCCCCCCCCCCCCAAAAAAAAAACCCCACTGTGTTGGGCTTAATGAACAAGGACTACAAACTTCTGTGGCACACCCCTCCTATGAAACAGTTTCCCAAAAAGCAGTCACCATTGAAAATTTGCTGTGAAAGGTATTGCAACATATATGTAACTTTGTTGTTAAAAAGATCTGTTCTGATTGATTGAAACATGTTCTTAATTGTTCGGGGTAAAAACAAATTGATGTATCTATGGATAAATGGCATCAACAGAAGATAAATGTATCAAAAAGTAATGTTATGTACACATGAAAACAACTATTTGCTCACATAAGAAAAATCCATACACCTGAACTTGTTTCATACACAAGAGAATAACCTCAGTATTAAACAGTGGTCTGCAGTTGTGTCAAAAAGTCATCAAAGCATCATACCCCTTTTCAAACTACAATTGTTTACCAGGATATTGTGATTTCATCAATGGTGAATGAATTACCCACAATATCGATACGGCTTTAAGTTGAGATTCTTTTCTTTAGATCAAGAAATGTTTTCTTTTTTATTGAAAAAAAAAACCCAAACAAACAGAGACTATAGTATTTCATCACAAGTGGTACTTTGAAATTCTTAGACTTATGTTTACATCATGTACACAATGAGCAGAGAATTTAAATAGGAAAAGTGTACAAATTATTCTGAGATTGACTAATTCACAAGATTCACTAGAATATCTAATATTGCAAAGGCCAGATTTACAAAATTAATACCACACATGAAGTAAGTTGTAATGTTCTGATGTTTAAGTGTTCCTCCCAACATCGTTTGTTAAATTCAGCATTTTTGTATGTTTTAATTGTTCTGGATGGGCAGCTGAGCTCTACATGTACGTATTTTCAAAACATGTGGGTGTGCAGTAAGCACCCTACCACTTTCCTTCTGCTGCCTATGGTGGTCAGATAGTGGTACTGTTAATGTTGATTGAACTTTTGGTCTTTCCATTGCGAAAAACAATTCTATATCCAAAACAGAAGAAAAAAAGAAGAAGTTAGTGATGTGTGTCATTTGCATGACCAATGTCACAGGTTGTTCTACATAATGGTTGCAATTTAATATTTAGAAATTGTTATGAAATTGTGTATGTACTGAAATACTTCACCATTGTCAATCTGTAAGTGTTGAAGCAAATAAAACAAGATGTTGATGTAATTAATTCTTAATATGTCCATTTACAGTTGTTTGTTTTTGTAAAATGTTTGTACCATGCTGTTTTCAAATGCGATACTACAAGTTTTTGGCTGATTTTTTACTCCTGAAGTTGAAATTCACATGTAACACAGGCTATGTCAACTTATGTTAAACACCTATTGAGCTTACCAGCTTGTTCCTTTCTCCCCTTTTCCCTTGATTTTGTTTTGGGATTACCAGCTCAATAAGACGGGGTTAAGATGACGGAGGTCAGAGCAATATAGTTAAAACATTGATTTTTATCTTTGAAGAAGTTTTGCAGAAGAAAACATGGAAAAATCTGACTTTTACCCTAAAAGGGCCAGGCTATTTTGACCATCTCACATGGATTCTGCCTCCCCCCCCCCCCTCCATGATCTCAGCCATCGAGTGACGAAAAAATTATGAAACTCGGTACATGCATAGAACAACTTAACACGAATGTATCCAAGAAATTTCATGACTATAGGTCACAGGGTTTTGGAATTATTGCTAATTAATTATTCATATGCTCGAAAGGTAATTCTGCTATGTGTACACTACATGTGTGTATATTGGGAAATTCAGTTTTCATGGCGCATAGCGCCGAAAATTTTTCACTGCCTGTGGTCCGCATTTTATCAAAAGATGCGCAAGATTAGAGGCTAAAAAGTCGGGACAGCTCGGGTCGCGAGCAAAAAAATAATGGGTGCGACAGCTTGAGGCTGACCATGCTCTGTCAGCCCCTGCCCTGTGGCTCATCTCGACTGATCGGTTGACGTGGATGGCTCATAGCTGGATTTGGAGACTGCTGATGATGATCGAATATTCCAAGCCAGAACTGAGCATCATGGTAACAAACATGACAGTGCAGCTGAGCCAACATCACTCAAACTAGTGCGCAGGCAAACTACTTGAATATTGAGTGAGAAATCCTCACGCTCGTATTTGGGATTACCTGGTTCTACACCTACCTGTTCCAAAACAACTTCATCGTGTACACGGACCACAAGGCGTTAATTGGATTTGCAACAAGCCGATAGAAAGTGGTCCACCGCGCCTGCAATGACTCATTTTTTTCATATAAAAAATTCAAACTTCTTAAAGTTTGAATTTTTTCAAACAAATGTTGCCCAAAATTTTTGGCAATTTTTTTTTTTTTTGGGGGGGGGACAGGGACAGGGACGGACTATTTTGACATTGGTGGCGCTATTTACAACCCTTTTATACCACTCAAAAACAGGCAACATACAGGTACATGTACATACTGCCACAGTCAAATCGTGGGACAAAAAAAAAAGATGAAACCCCCCCCAAAAAAAATCTGCGGTGTCATATTCAAAGGCAGACAGGTCATCGTCAAACATGAGGCCATGCGCGACACATGCACATGTAGCAATAAAGTGTTTAGGGTTTCTTATAGTATTGTATAGGGGGAAAAAAGGTTGAACAGGGTGTAAAAAAACAGTGAGTGTCAAAATTGTTCCAAGTGTTACTTCAAAAGAAGGGCTGCTTACTCAGACAATGTGCATGTCATGTCTAGCACGGGACATTTATAGTTATGAGGGATAATATTATGCATAGCTTTCATACTTATATCACATAATAATGTAAATTACATCTCTAAAAAGGGGAGATGAAGTAATATACAAATATAACATGGTTTGAGGGTGGACAGTCGATATTCGCTCCCCGAGGTGTTGGAAGTTGACAAAATAGTTCCCGAGGCGAAGCCGAGGGAACTAGTTTGTCAACTTCCAATACCGAGGGGAGCTAATATCGACTGTCCACCCGAAATAAACCATGTTGTATTTGTTTTACTATACCTCATGCATATTCAGTTGCCAATTTTTTTATGTCTAATCATGCACCTAAAACAAAATTTTCGGAGAAACTTGTATAGCTCACCAAAACAATATTGTTGCGTTAAGTTCACTAGTTCGATTCATTTGCAATACAGCAACTACAGTTGTAAATACAGTTGTTTGTGTACAACTTTCTCTTG